TTGAGCCCAGCCTTGGCAATTTCGTGTGACTCTCTCAAAACAAAGCAGAGCAAAAGAAAACAAAGAATTGGGGCTGGGGATGTAGCTCAGGGATGTAACCCCTGAGTTTAAACCCCCAAAAGAAAAATAAAGAAAACAAATCAAGTAGTATGTGTATTGTGTGTTCTGATTGCTGTGTTTCACTGATACCTAAATTTGTAACTAGCTGAGAATCCAGTGGAAGCGACCATTTTGATGATCACTTGACTCCTCGCTGGGGAAACCCAGCATCCCTCGCAGGTAGGGAGGCAGCCTCTGGCGGCTCCATGAGGGGTGTGTGGCGGGCTGTATTCGCGGCAGCTCCATTGATAAATTGCGTTTTTCTTTTCATTACCAAAGAGGGTATACTACCAAGTTTGAGGGTACTGGGGTCTCCCTCTAGAGGTATTTTCTAGGTTTTTCTTGTCTTGAACAAAGAATTGGACAAAACAAATGCAAAAGGGAGCGAGGATTTACATTTATTAAAAGTAGGCAAAGAAACGTGCTCTGCAGAGCGAATGTGGGCCAATTAAAAGTAAAAGCGGTGGTACTCTCCATGCGTTAGGTAGGTGCGGACCGCCATTACAGAGAAAACACAGTGGCCTGAAGCTCAGCGGCTGGCTGCCCTTTTATACCTCCGCTCCTCCGTGTGATATCAGGTCTAGGTTGTCCTATCAAAACCCTGCTGAAGGCAGGCGTGGTGGCGCACGCCTGTAATCCCAGCACTCGGGAGGCTGAGGCAGGAGGATTGCTGTGAGTGCGAGACCAACATGGGATATACAGTGAGTTCTAGATCAGTCTCAACTACACAGTGAGACCCTGTGTCCAAAACAAAACAAAACAAACCCCCAAACCCGCTGAGCGCTCAGAAGAATTGAAGATAGCACTCTGATTGGTTCCACTGCAGGGCTTTGGGAACTGCTCTGCGCATTTGTCCTGGAACTTTGCTATTTATAGATCACCCCCACTTGCCCAGACAGTTTTCCAAGCCCTAATCTCCTGCGTCAGTTATGCAGCTACCACCAAGTTTTTCTCCTTTGCTGTATGGGTATTTCTTTTGCATTCTGAAGCCCTTTCCATTGAGAAGAGATTTAAGTGTTTTCACATTTCACAACTTGAAACTCCAATTTCTTAGATGTGATCAGCAACATCTTTAGCTGTTAAAAGAGTGGGACGTTTATTTCCTTCATTCCAAGTTGGATCTGTGTTAGAAACTGGAGGATTGGGTAACCTTTTGTACTCTTTGGTAGAGCACTAGGAGGAACTGAGTCATAATCAAACTTCAGACTGTTCATTGGTTTTAAAATTCATGTTTGTCAAAGAGAAAACTAAAGTGAGATTTGGTATATTTTATACTATTGTACTGTTTGATGCAGGATTTATATTATCCTGTATAGAAATGGATGAATTTGGTTGAAAACAATTTAGCTGGCTACTTGGGAAAATCAAAGGTTATTTAATGCAGTTTCTACATTACTGGTATATACTATATACTGGTATATACTTATATTGCTGATAGTATATACTATATATAACAGTTTATATATATTTGTATTGCAGTTTCCTATTCCCCAGTTCTATTCTGGGAACTTTAGAATGAAGATGTCATTTTATCAAAATACAAGGGAATTTGTAAACTATACCGCATCCCTAGAAATTTCTTCAGTATAATAAAGATGAAAAAAAAAAAATTCAGGGCCAGGGATTTAGCTCAGCGGTTCAGTGGCCTGCCTTGCAAGCGCAAGGATCTGAGTTCAATCCCTGGTACCAAAAAAAAAAAAAAAAAAAATTTTGAACAAAAGATATAGTTCAATGGCACAGATGCCTGGGTTCAATCCCTAGCACCATACACACACAAACATGTGCATGCACACATTTTAATTTAATTTAATTTAATTTCAAAATCCCAATAAAATAAAAAAGAAAGAGAAAGAGTTCTGCAAAGTAGCCAGTTCTATCCTAAGGATGTAGAAAATAATAACTGGAAACCGAAGTTAATCTTTAAAAGTTGTTGATAGATTGGAATTTCTACCTGGTCATTCATCCACAGGAAAGAAAAAGAAATGCACTGAATACGCTAAACAATAAAAACAATGCTAACACTCCAACAGAACAATAGAGAAAAGGCATTAACAGAAAAGAAATTTAGAAAAATGCAACAACAGTTAACACATTTATGAGCAAGGAACAATGTTACTAACAGTCAAACAAACATAAACAAAAAGAGATAACTACTTTTCCCCCAGTCCTGGGGATTAAAGCCAGAGCCTTACATATGCTAGGAAACTCTCTTGAGCTATACCTCCAGCCCCAAACAGGTAACTTTTTATATTACCAAACTGGCAAGGGTAAGAGGTTATGGTGACAAAGATAATAGATGGTGTGGTGAGATGGACAAGTCATTGGAAATGTTTCACATTATTATTATTTTTTTGTTTTTTATTTTGAGACAGGGTCTCGCTACACAGTTGAGACTGATCTGGAACTCACTATGTAGCCCAGGCTGGTCTCGAACTCATAGTGATCCTCCTGCCTCAGCCTCCAGAGTACTGGAATTATAGGCCCAGCGTCACATTATTTAGCATTTGGAAATATGATCTGGAATCCTACTTTTAGGAATCCATCTTAAGGAAACAGTAAGAAGATTGCCCCAAATTTGAGATCAGTCAGGGATACATAATGAGTTCAAGGCCAGCCTGGAGTACACAGCAAGGCCCTGTCTCAAAACACAAAGAAGTGGGTGGGGTAGGGGAGGCTGTGTCAGTGGCAGAGCACTTGCCAAGTATGCCTGAGGCCTTAGGTTCCATCCCCAGCACCAAATGGACAAAGATCACCTGTAGTGAAATAATCCCAAGGTTCCTGCTGTTAGCATCTTGGTAAATAGCCGTCTACACTCATTTTCTGTATGACACACATTTGTTTAAAAAATTAAAATTGGATCTGTAACTTAGTAATTTAGCAAGTCCCTGTTATCTAGTTTTGGAGCACAGGAGTCTCTTTCTAGAAGTGACTTCTAGGTTCTTCTTGTCTTGAACAAAAAACGAGACAAAACAAGCACAAAAGTAGTGAGCTTTTATGTTTACTAAAGATAGGGCTGGAGATTTAGCTCAGTGGTTCCACCACCTGCTTTGTAAGCGCAAGGTCCCATGTTTGATCTGTGGTACCAAAAAAAAAGGTTGGAAAAGAAATAAGATCTGAAGAGTGAGTTTGGACCAAGTATAAGTAGGAAAATAAGTATATTCTACAGGGCAAGAGCACACTATGTGAAATACAGAACACAGCAGAAGAAAACTCAATGCTGACTGTCCTTTTATATCCCCCACTCCTCAGGCTCACATCAGGTCTAGGTTGTCTTATCCAAAACCGCTTGAGTTCTCATAAGAAGTCCATATACAGGGTTTCGGGAACTGTCCTGTGCAAGTGTCTTGGATTTTGCAATTAACAAAGTAGGTCATACCTACTTCCCAGTCAGCCTCTCTTGCCCTAATATCCTGCCTCACTGTCTCATACAAACAAAAAACAGGCTGGTGATGTGTAGTTCAGGGTGAAGGCTGCAGGTTCAATCCCCAGTACCACAAAAATATATTTTTAAGGAATAAATACTGGATCGCGTTGTAATAGTCAATTATGCACAAACTGAGTTCATGGTCTTGCCATATTGAAGAATGAAGTTGTGAACCAAAAGGAGGAAGTTAGAACTGTTTTTACTGGAAATAAGAAGAAACAAAGGTTTCTCCAGGAAGGGGACCCCAAAAATGGAATTTCCACAAGGCTTCTTGTTTCAGAACTTTTTATGGATAAGCAGTAAACAGGAAGAGCTCAGTTGTTTTAGTAGCTGCCTATCACAGGCAGCTCTGTGAATTTAAAATGATCAACTGGAGCCTAGGCTCTCTAATCCAGTTACTCAGTTTAGAGAAAATTGGAATTTCAGGGAAAAACTGGTTATTTTGCATTTTAAATTAAAGCTCCCTTTAGTAGGGAGGCCGCTGCATTCCTTGTTACTTAAGGAACTTCTTTCATGGTCAGAAGTCCTTATACACTATGTATTCTTATTTTAATTCCTATTAATATGGCTGATCATGCAACTCTATCTCAGGCCCTTTTCCTAGCTAGCTGCCTTATTTGTAAACTAATTAAACTTTTTTTTACACTATCACGCATTCCATTTAGAACCATTTCCAATTACAATATATATATTTTCATAATGAGAAAGTAAAATTTGACTGAAGAGTAGTTAGGAGAACCAAGTTCTAGTTTCAGCCTTGCTTTGAATATCTGTGAGAACTTGAAGTGTACCATGAATTTCAGGGATAAATCTTTTCAAGTGTAAAAGGTAGGACTGCGATTAGATAAGATTTTTACTCCCTTCCAAGTCTACAGCTCTGTGTCTCCTGGAAGGAGTGGCACAATTACAATAAACATGGGTGTGACAGTTTTGTTGTAATAGTAAAGACTTTATCAATAGAGAGTGGCAAACTTTAAGACAGATCGTTACAATAACTAAAACAAAGACAGCAGCCAATGTTTATTGGGAGAATGGCAAATTGGGTAACTGAGCCAGAGACTGTGTCAAAATTAAAAAGGGCTGGGGTATAGCTCAGTGGTACAGTACCCTGGGTTCCATTTCCAGTACTGAAAGGAAGAGACAAAGAGGCAGACAGAAAGAGAAGAATGTATAAGCAGTCACCAGCTGTGTTAAAGCAAATACATGTATTCTTCATACATTAGAGAACTTCTGTAAGGATACAGGGAGGCTGGTATTAATGACAGGGGTCTGGGCACCTGGGCAACAGCGCTGGTTCTGGAATTCACTTTATGTTATATCCTTTTGTACTTTTGTATCTTGTTTTATTTATTTTGGTGCTGGAGTTTGAAACCTGGGCCTCAGACATGTTAACCACATAGGCCTGTATATCACTGAGCTACATCCCCAGACCCCTACCTCTTATTTTATTATTTTTGGTACTAAGGATTGAACCCGGGGCCTTGTGCTATACCACTGAGCTCTACCCTCAGCCCTTTATATCATTTTTTAAAAATGTAAGGAATAGAATTCCTTGGCAACAGTGACAAATGACACAGAACAAGCATGTTCCTTCCTTGCTTAAATCTTTTCCATCATTTCCTGGGCTCATGACTTCTGACCTGCATGATCTGGCCAGGCCACCTGAGTGACGCTGAGTCCATTTCAATGCACCTTCACTTTACTCCCTTCTACATTCTGTAAATGCCTAGAAATCTTATGCTTTTTATCCCCAGAAGGATTGGAAACTACCTCAGCAACATCATAAAATTAGCGTCTTAGGAATTCCAACTATGGGCCAAGGAATTTCAAAAGTGAGTGTCCTCCAAGAGGCAAAGCACCATTGGACCCATACCTGAGGAGAAGGTAGACTCAGAAAGCTGGTTATTAGTATAAGGTCACAGGGCTGGTTCTCCACTATGTGTAATTAACCTTAGCAGCTGTTCTCTGAAGTTTCATTCGGCAAAAGTAGGTTAATAAAAAGGAAGTCTTGGATTTTAGATATTGGTAGATTTGGGGTCACATTAGGACTGAGAAAATTAATTTGATTTCTCATCTCTAAAAATGTCTTCCTACCGCCAATGTGTAGTAGAACCCATGAGGAAAAAAAAAAATGTTCCCTAAAAATGAAAAGCCACAGAGATGCTGGGCTCTACCAGTAACCATATAGTGATATTTCAAATGCGTTTGTTTAATTCGAGGGAGAAATTAATTTATCTTCCTGAGGGCAGTCATCCTTTTGACAATGCAGCTAAATTAACCATAGTTAACTAAACTAGAAGTTCACAAAGATTCAGATGGTGAGCAAGACTGTGGAAAGGCCTAAGGGCCTCTGCCCCTGAAGGCTACAAGGAGGTCATAAAGAGCCTGGGATGCAGGCAGAATTGTGGATCAAGGTTCTGAGCCCTTTGGGAAAATTTCCTCTGAAAGAAATGGACCTAACAAGGACAAAAATGCCAAATTTGAATTTCATCCTCAACTCTGTATCTCCCACTTCAGATATGAGTACATAAGCACTCTTCACCAGTTAAGATTTTGTTTTCTAGAAGTCAGACCCTTTAAAAATATGTACATTTTAACTTTTATAATGTTTATTATTTCTGGTTATAAAAGTAATGTTATAGAATGACTGGAACACAGAGAAACAAGAAAAATAATAGAGAGCACACTTTTACTTTGGGCAGAGGGCTATGTCTCCCTGGGCTGGAAACTGATTGTTGGAATGGTCTTTATATCTTAAAAAGAAGAAGAAAGAAAAGAAAAAAGATTAAAAAGTCACGATAATCTATAATAAGTATGGAATATTTTCAGATTCTATATTTTTGTAGTCTTTTTTTCTTTGTATATATGTAGGAAGGACAAAAGTTTTTATACAGGTTATAGAATTGGAGTATTACCTTTGTATTTTTTTCCAAATTTATTGTTTTATACTTTTTTGCTAGCTAGTTCCAAAGTTATTATGATTATCCTTTTACACAAATCTTTTTGTGATTGATGATTATTTTCCTAGCATAAATTCCTGAAGTGGGATTAAAGTGTCAAACAGCATACATATTTTTAAGATGTTTGATACATATCACCTAATTATCTTCCAGAAATTGTTTTCCAGCTTATACTCACCACAGCAACTGTGTCCTTTAAAAAGTCAATCTCACTGACACAGAATATGCTGAATTACTGACATATTTTGTAAAATAACTACACGAAATATTTAATGTTTTGCTTGTATTATCCTTTCTTTGGTTTTTAGAAAGGGTAAACTTTTTTGTAGTTCTCCTCTGTAATCATTTTAATTTTCCTTGTCTAGTCATACTTGTCTGACTTTCTAGGCTTTTTGGGGGGTCCTGGGAATCAAACTTGTGCTTGCCAGGAAGGTGCTGTGCTGCTAAGCCTATCCCTGGCCCTTGTCTGACTTTCTATTACAGGGTGTGTTTTATTTCTTGTGGTAGTGAGGATCATACTTAGGGATGCTCTACCACTGAGCTGTATCTCCAGAGCATTTTATTATTATTAAGGTTGAAACAGGGCCTCACTAAGTTGCCCAGACTGTCCCTCTCACAGTGCTGGGATTTCAGGCCTGGGCCACCACACCAGGTTTAGGGAAGTTTTTACCAGCCGAACAAAACTTTTATTTCCTCTATAGTTTTTACTAGAAAGTCATTTTAACTCCAAGGAGACTATTTGCTTTGAGTTAACTTATTAATTTGTCTGTGCTACTAAGAATTGCACCCAGGGTCTTGCACAGGGTAGGTAAATGCTCTACCACTGAGCTACATTCTCAGCCCCAGTTTATGATTTTTTAAAAAAATACTTAACTCTTAGCTAGATGTGGCGGTGCATACCTGTAGTCCCAGCTTTGCTGGTTGAGGTGGGAGGACTGCTTGAATTTAGAAGTTTGAATTTGAGACCAGCCTGGGAAGTACAGCAAGCCCGCATCACAAAATTAAAAAAAAAAAGTCTATTCTTGCTGGAAGTATTTTCAGGAATGGTGTGAGAAGAGGCACTAACAGAATTTTCCCCAAGTGCTTGGACATGTTTTAATGAACAATCTCTTTCCCATGCTTTCCAACGTTTCTTTTGTCACATACTGTAGTTTGTCCACAGTTGCACACGGGTTTGCATGCAGCCTTCTGTGGCAGGAGGCGCTGTATCACTTCCCACTTGCATGGTGGGCACCTGGAGAGCTTCCTGCCTGGCATCCACAGTCCTCTGTATACGGTAGATGGCCAATAAACTCCTATATGAAATGCACAGTTAATGAGTTATTGATACCTGGAAATTTAACTTGATAAATAAATAGCTGTCTTGATGTTTTAACTATCTACCTTTTAGGAAAAGGGTTAAACCTCCCTGCTAAGTTTTTTAGTGATCTTTTTAGCTCATGATTTTCTCTTCTATTTCCATTATTCTAATCTAATCATTTCCATCTTTTCTTTTGAGACAGGGTCTCACTATGTAATCCAGGCTGGCCTTGAACTCATGTGATTCTCCTGCCTCAACTTCCCAAGTGCTGGGATTACAGATGTGTGCCACCAGGCTTGGTATCACTTTCACCTTTAGAACATAACACTGTTTTTTCGTGGGCCTCAAGATTAGGACTAAATTCCCAGTATTTTAATTCCTCATATCTGAAGAACAGCGAAAATCTAGGATGGGTATGTAGCTCAGTGAGAGTTCTTACCTAACATGTGCAAGGCCCCAAGTTTGATCCCAGCACCCGAAAGGAAAAAAAATGCAGTAAGAATAATTATGATTCAGGGCTTGATGGTTCATGCCTGTAATCCCAGCACTCTGGGAGGCTGACACAGGAGGACTGTAAGTTTTAGCTATCTAGTGAGACCTTGTCTCAAAATAAAAAAAAACTGAAAAAAGGCTGGGTACATGAAGCCCAATGTGAAGGTCCTCGGTTTATTTCCCAGTACTGTAAAGAACAAAAAAATTATGATGCAACTGGGTCATTTTTTTCTTACACTTGAGTAGCATATAAATACTTTTAAAATGAAAAAAAAAGTGTCTATGGACGTTCAACGATGCCTTGAACTATTTTTATTAAAACATTTAAATAAACTACATGTCCTTATAGGTATATACCAGAAAAGGTATTTATGATTGTATGGCAAACACTCATATTATCCACAATATGTATTACATTCTTTAAAAAAATTGTAATTAAAGCAAAAGCACAGATTTTAAGGAATCATATTTTGGACACTCCTTAAGAGTACATGTCCTGATTCTAGCCTAATAGAACACAAACTGAAGACCCACTTTATCACAAATTACACTTAACCCTCAAACTTTGCCTTTTTTTTTCTGAGGCATCTACCAAGTCTTCAATGCTCAATTTAAATGTGAACAAACCCTAATCTAGAGAGATACATGAGTCTGCATATGCTTGTAACCATTATATTACCAAAAACCAAAACTAAAACTAAACATAATCAAAACTATTAAACAAATGCTTCAAATAATCTTAATTGCTTCAAATAATCTTATTTAATGAGACAGATGATATTGTGTTGCTAAACAAAAATGTCTGTTCACATCATACACTAATACCAGCTAGCAAGAAGGTTTTGTTGTTTTTTGTTCAATCTGCCCATCAATGAGTGAAAGACTTACCAGATTGTTTTTTGTTTCATTGTGTTCCAGGTAGGTCTCAGACTCACTCTGTAGCCCAGGCTGGCCTCAAACTTGTGATCTTCTTGTCTCAGCATTCCGGAATGCTGTGATTAGAAGTATGCACCAGCAGGCCTGGCTGATTTATCAAACTTGTTTATTCATTTATTCATCCATTAATCTTTATTTTTCTTTAAGAAACCTTTAGAAATTGAACTGCAGCAATAAATCTATCAATATAGTCACCAACAGTACCAGCTCTCCAATATTCCATCAATGTTCTTTGAAAGGATTTGGTTCTGAAAGTTGGGTGAGTACAACTAAGCTGATTTTTGCTTTATAGATTTTATTAAAATGTGTTCTATTATCATTAGGAAATGAATATTCTTTCTGGAACCTTAAAGAAATGGGCTTTGAAATGACAATTATTCATTGTAGTTAAATATTTTAAGTGAAATATTTTTAAAAATTACAACTTCTATCCCATATCCTATGTGACCTGAGTGCAAAGAGGACATGGTTACAACTCGTAGGTCTAAGAGCTCTACTATAATATTTATAAAAGAGCAGCTGCCTGTAAATTTGTATGCAATAAAATGCCCACATTTTATAGGGAAATATCCTACAGGACTCTTTAAGTTGTTCAAGACCCTGTTTCCTAATAGTTTCTGAAAGCTGTTGACTTTTAGAAATGAACATGTTGATCTGGGCATAAAGGAAGAAGATAGGCAGAAAACAGAGGGGATGCTAATTCACAATGCAGCAGGCAATTAATTAAGTCGTGCTCCTTGAAACATATGATTGAGGAGATTTGAAAATATTAGAATAACAGAAGATGCATTTCCTTCAAATTACTTTACTGGTGTGGTTTTCTACCAGGGTTCAGTCAATGGGCTGGATTTAGGGGTAACACAGTAGTTTTCAAAGGGGGCAGTTTTGCACCAGAAGACATAATGGCAGTTTCTGGCTGTTACTACTCTGGGGGAAGGTGCTCTAATCCTATCTACTTGTTAGAAGACAAAGGTGCTAAGTATCTTTCAGTGCACAGGACAACACATCAGTTATCCAGCCAAAAATGTAGTGTCAAGGCCGAGAAATCCTAGATGAAGGTATCTAAACCAAAGGCTGTTTTCTTGTGTGCACAGGGCCTGTACAGAGGGCTGTATTGTAGTGAATTGCCTTGTTTTATAACACACACAGTCTAGGATACAAGTCCACAAGTAATGTACAGTATTACCCCAAAGCTTCCAAGACAGCTTCCTGGAATGCAGGTTAATCACAAGAGGAAAGAGTTATGTGGTTTTTGCATTAAATCAGCCACATAATAAGACCACTATTGAAGGAACTACACAGGGGACAGAAGTAACAGTTTAAAATATTACAAGATTCCACCTGGGATTCAGCTCAGTGGCACTGAGGTTGGGCAAGGTCCTGAGTTCAATTCCCAGTACAAAAGAAAAAAAAGGATTAATCAATTCCTTTATTCACTTACCCAGCAAACCTTTATTAAGCATACCAATATGCTAGGCATGGTGATACATGAGGAACACAACAGTCCCTGGCCCTAATGGAGCTTACAACCTATAGGGGACTCTAAAGGTTGCCAACAAGAGGCCCCTTTGTAAAATGAGGACAGGAAAATTTACACAGCAGCCCGAAAACTTTTTGTATGCAGTCTCATTTGAACTGCATGACAACGTTATGAGACAGCCATTATTTCCTTCTTAGATTAAAAGCGTGCCCAAGGTCAAAACGGTTTATAAATGGCAGAGCTGATACTTCAGCCAAGGGACACTGAGGGCCCCGTTCTATTGTTCCATGGAGCAGGGTTACATACAAGCACTATTTCCTTGATTTGACCTGGAATTTCATTTCCTGATTCCTACCGAATACATACATACAAAGCCTGTTTTTGTTTTTTTTTTTTTTTCGTATTGGGGATCTAACTTGGGCCCTTTCCTTTGCTTGCTTGCTTGCGACTGTGCCAAATCCTCAGCCCCAAAGCCTTTCTTCTTGTGGCAAAAAAAATACACCCCAACCCTCTCCAGATACTTGCATATGTAACACCTGGACATTATTTTCTAGCTGTTCCCTGTATATATGCCTATGTTTCTAATTACACTGTAAACTCCTGACCTGCAAGGACCAGACCTTCCATTTCCTGTGTAACCTTTTGCAGTACTGCAGATAGTCACCCAATAATGCCCTCTGCATGAGTGGACCTGTAGAGATAAAAATATTTTATGGTTTTCCCATCTATTGGTGTCATGCTTTTATTTTGCTTTGTGATAGAACTGTATATTACAAGCTTCTAGAGGGCAGAGAAAATGGCTTGGTGCTTCCTTACACTCGGCAGGCACCATGCAAATTTGATCCTTGCATGCCTTTTGGATGCTCCGGATAATATTAGCACACTGGGGTGTTTGTGTGTATCTAAGGACGGAGGCTGTCAGCCTTTCTCCGGCAGGGAATGTTCCTTCCTTTCCGCTGTAAGCTCCCTTGGCGCCTAGGACAGGGCTCAGTTACCGCAGAAGCCCCCCGCCCCGCTTATGTTTATTCCTAAGGAAGCCGACTGTGAACAGGGCAAACGCTTGCATAACCCCAGACCTTGGGAGGCAAGTGGAAAGGGATTTGAAGTCAGTCAGAAATGGCCTGGATGAAAACGCTGGAGCTTCCTGGCCTGCAGAGCAGAACAGAGCGCGCGGCCCGCAGTGCGGGGCCGGGAGCAGGAGGCAGACGGCG